ATAGTGCCAACCTCCACATGCCCAGCATGGAGATGATGGTTTGTCGCTGTTATTTAGGAAATTATGGGTACTGGAACCTTGAAAGACTTTTCTCTTGACTGCATTGACGTTACGGAAACAGTTACCGTTTTCTACCATTGAGGTATCATGCTTTAAGTTTACTAACCTTTGGCACTCAGTAGTCACTTCTTGCAGGGTCATATTAGGGCAGTGTTCGAGTTTGCTTAGGATTCTGGTTCGGATAACGGCATCTTCGGGTGAACGCAGGCTGCAGATAAATACTAAGCATTTAAACTGATCTTCAGACATGGACGACAATCTAAACCTCTCACATTCTCGGTTCACAGTTCCTGCATGCTTTATCCAATATCTCCTGGTTCTTTCGTTAACTTTAAGCACTGGTAACGGATATTAAATAGAGATGATTGTTCTCCGAAGATTTGGGATAGGGTTTTGACTGTATCATCAAAACTAAAATCTCGTGGGTTCTTCGGAAGAATGAAGTTGCTATAGCGTTCATGTTCCATAGTCCCAAGTTTTCTAAGAAGTATTCTGACTTTTGAAGCATCATCCAGTTTGCAAAGATCAATATAAAACAAATCCTCATACTTCTTAAACCACGACTCGAAAGTTACACCTGCTACACCATTAAAATTAAATTCATGGATGGCATTAATGACTGAATCAGTATGTGATACTTGAGATTCACTAGAAGCAGGGTTTATCTCGGACAGGCAAAATTTCCATGATTCTAATTTGGGACTCTTCAAACCTCTTTTCTTGACGCACAATATAAGCTTCTAATTGCTCCAAGGAAATATTCATTGAAGTTTTCATTCCCGTCGCCACTGATAAGTCGTGTAGGTTGAACGCTATATACGATTCCTAAGCTATTTCGGTAACCCGCAGTCTAGAACTACACAGCGACTTGAACTCCAGAGAGAAGACACAAGAATGAGAGAAAGCACTTTATTCCAAGGTTCATTTTTGTACAGAAAATCATGGGTATTTATAGATTTTGGAATCTGTTAAATCAACATCATTTTACAGCCAATCCTATAACAACACATTATGCTACCGACCAATAGTAGCACACCACGTTGGAATTCCAGAACGTTCCATCACACTCTGATTGGCCAGGACTCTTCGGCTCCTTGTGGGCCTCTGGAGGCTCCGTTGAAGTTCTCCGGAAGCCGACCCAACATTTATGATATATAGAATCCCACAGTTTACGATTTATTGTACCAGACCACGTCGGGCTCACCAATGAAGATGTCACAGGTATTCGGAGTTTGAAAATGCTTTAAACAGTTACACTTAATATGAATCGTAACCACCAAGTGAAATCAAAAGACAGAAGCGAGGAGGTTCGAAGATAATATTTGATAGTCTATCAATATATCGAGTATCGTCTGATCTAACCTAGCTAGCGATCGCAAGGGTTGTTGAGCACGCCGTTCCCACTCGTGATCTGGTGCAAATGCATGGCCGAGTGCCTTCAGCTAGGTGAGCCCATTAAAACTAATATGGTTAGCATCCAATGTCGGAAACTTACAGAGCTATTTATTTTGGGGATTTATTTACCGCTGCATATACATACGGCTAGCCTTAGCCTAAGAAAGACTGAGTTGTTTGAAGAGTTCCGAAGAACCTGAGATGACTTGATTTTCGGAAAAGCAAATCTCCCTTATAAAGACAAACTGGTCAAACCAAACTCATTTTTCTTGTCGTATAAACACTAGAGGCGACTTAGACACAGCTTTAACATTACTTAATGATAAATTTTCATCGCACATACCCTCTCTAAAATCAGAGGATTCAAGAGGATATCCTGAAAATGTTCACAAGGCCAGAACAAACTACTTGCCAGCTTATTATCAACTTTCCCAGAGAGAGCCTCTTCTTTTCCATCCAGAACCATTTGAATATTCAACCGAAACTCTATCTATGTCCTCATCCTAAATTTAGGATTTCTTAAGAAATCCGGATCACATGGGAGACCACCAACGTCAGAAGTAAAACAGGCCACTCAGCTTCTTGCTCTTTCTAAATTGAAGCAGAATTACTTGGAGTTCATCAAGTGAAATGCTTTTTTGAATCCGTCTATGTCCTTATGAACCCACTTTTAATGTCAAGGTCACTGGTGTCAGCGTGACTTGGGGTGGGCTTCTTTGCACTGTTTTTTTTAAACTTAATTACAATGAAAATCGATTTAGCTGTAGACTAACATAATGAAAAGATTTTAAAAATTGTTCTTGGCCGCATGTGCATACGTTAGCATATGCTTTTTTGACAAAATAATAGCGAACATGACCCCGAGCTCCCAATTTTCGCACCAAAACCCCAAAGTCTATATAGACTTGTAAGTGTCATGTTCGCAAAGTAAATTAATTAACTTACTTTATCAGACGCTGTAACTAGACATTTTCATAGAATAGTCAGGTAACAGTTTTATCTGTCGCGCAAGGGTTCTTTTTGTAATAGCTCAAACCTGTTCCACAATGTCAGCTTCATATTTGAGATAACTGCTACATGCTAAATCTTGACATAGAGCTAAAATATGCTTTTTTAAAATTCCTGAGGACTCATGTAAATCATATTCGTATTAATTGCCAAGTAGTCACTATCTATTCTTTCAAGATATTTAGATCAGTATATTTGGATGCTGACGACTTCGTTTTTCCCTGGACTTGTACATAATTTCCACTACCACATCCTATTACTGCAGGACCATTGATCTCCCCAGATTTGGACCGTATGGTATCGAAATCAATTACCTGGTTAGTGAGTTGGTATGCTACTATGATCCCGCCCTAAGGATTTGTCTTCTCTCACGAGTTCTTGCAACTGGTTGCAGTGTTATTTCCCTGCTTTGTCAGTAACCTAATGAGAATATCTGTTATTGACATCCTGAATTATCTATTTATTCGCATAAACAGCATAGAGGAGCACCAAATATATATATGCGTCACACTAATTGGACGGGTGAAACAGGAAACTCCCTGGCTGTCCGAACCGAAGCAAAATATTAAATAACCACACGTTTTCATATACCAATTGGCTATAGATAATATATTTAATTATGGGACTAGATTTGGTACATAGTGACACTAAATGAATGGTCCATACATATGCAGAGGTAATACAGTAAAAAAGGGAAAGCAACACTATTTAAACGAAAATATACGTGAACAAGAACAAAATGTGGTAGAGAGTATCATTCAGTTAACATTCTAGTTGAGAAAGTTCTTTCACTAAAAGTCGTTCTTATGACGAATGTAAAAGGCAACTATAGCGTGGTCTCCATCGACCTCTATTTTGAGCTGTTTGTAGCGTTGTTTCAAGTTGCACTATCTGTGGGGCCTCAACCATAGTCGTAATTGACCGGCAAATGGCGGTCCCAACCAATTTCATACCACGTCGTCAGTTTGTAAACAAACCACCTCTGTTTATTCCAACCCATCCGTGTCTACATAAAATACATAGTGCGGGAGTTGTGATAGCACTCGTGACGCACTTCTGAGCCACCGAAGTTGGTGTTTTAAGACAGCGATACCAGTCAAATTATCACTATACCCGAACTCATTACCAAGTCTCACTAATAGTAATAATAATAATAATTATTATATATATTCGTAGGTTATTGGTATTCTATCATAGGTGTCTACGAAGCATTCCTCGGGTGCTTTGAGACCACCGTGTAAGCAATGTCAGGGTTAGGAATAGGATGGCAAATCACTTGACGAGGTAGTGAATTTTCATCAACTGAGATGGTTGTGGCATGTATTATGTATGCCCGTCATCTACCGCCTGCCATGAAGGGCTATGATTTCTGGTGTAGGAGTAGGTTGGAAGAAAGCTAGAGGCAGTTAAGCCAAAATATAGCATCAGTTCGTCACTGACAGTTGTACTTAACCTGGTTTGAATCGGCGTAATTAATGGCTAGAGACTAAGTTACATGACTCGAAATTCCCTATAGCCTTTTTTCATTTCACGAATTTATATTTTCTTGGATCATATCTCCCATATCTAATCTTAGGTCGTCACTGATACTGTTGTTACCCCTACTTCTGGGATTTCGCCGGACACCGTCTTTGTGCTATTGGGGTATGGCAGCTTGAACCTATGTACATACGTACCAGGTTCTACGCTGTGACTGATCACTACCATGTACTTGAGGGCTATTTCCAGAGTGCCATCAGTGACGCAGTAGAAAAGAAGTGATATTGAACAACCTTGCATAAACTCGCTACTAAACTGGAATAATGGATTGAGTTGGTTGCATACCCTCACACTGCTTGAAGTACCTGTATGTTGGGCCTTCAAGGTGTTAACGAATAGTCCTGCCCAACAAATCAAAGTAGGCCCTGTTATCAAAGAACACCAGTTGTTGCTCTCCAGTAAATGTGGCGATGTTTTAATATTTAGAGAAGGGTGAAGTTATGGTCAAAACGCTAACTATATGAGCTAAAACTAGCCTGTTCATCTCTAGCCGTTTCCTGAGTTTTAGATCTGTGGATTTTGGTGAACTACAGTAGTCTTGATGCAATCGACAGTAGACATTCCGCGACAGCTGGTGCATAGATAACGTAGGCTGCTCTTAAAGAGGGAAAGAACGATTGCTTCGTTCGATGTTGGAACACTATTTATCAAACCTTTTCAAATAACCCAGTCTGCTCTCTGACCAAAAGTTCTTCATCTTTATAAAGCCGAGTAGGAGTAATTCATCTGGTTGTGGTGATTTTCGATGCTTCAAAAGTCGGAGATTCTTATGGACCTCAGACTTATGGGAGCAGGACTAGCAGTAGCAGTACTCTCTCTACCTCTCAAGACATCTCCGCATGTCACTAATTTTCATTTAGTTAGCTTTATTGATTGTCACATTCACACCAAACGCTTTGCTGCCAATAGCTTAGATAAGCTGAATTGGCTTTTAGCAGTTGCCAAATGCTGTTGGTGTTTTCACCACCATAACATTTGTACCTTGTCTTATTTACTTTACTCTGTACCTTTTATCACATTTCATAAAATTGATTGTGAGATATTGCTAATAGTCAATAAGTTGTCTGATCTAAATTAACACTTACGTTGGGATTGTGCATATGTAACAAATTTATTGACATAATCTTATGATCAGTGATCATTAGACTTTAATGTGTTATTTTACAATATAAGTTATTCAAATACCAATCAGATCTATTACCGATAGCTCCATTAATACAGTTTTATATATGATACTAGTGTATGTAAGTTCATATTAAGTGAGTGAATAACTTATTTGTAGTTCTTATTACTTTCCTAACTCAATAACTTCGTACACATTACATTATCTTTGTAATTTCCCAGCTTTTCATTTGTTTCACATTAAAATTTCACTCAAACAAGATTCTACATGATAATAACATCCTATTGGTTTCATATTTAGTCTTAACGGATTCAATCAATGGAAGCACTACTTGCCTGTGTAGATATTCCTCCAGATTGTCATGATGCTATACCTCTCTTGAACTTGGAAAATAAATCTTTCTCCAAGTTTTTCAAGCGAATCTTAAAAAGGCTAGAAAAAGGAGAGACTTGTGTTCAAAAGGCGTTGCCTAAATTATCAGTTAATGATACTGAAGAAGAATCAGAATACGTACTTATTGGGACCGCTCAAGAGGAAAATTCTAGAATATTATTCGCACGACTTCCAAACTCGTCAGGGAGTAATGAAGTGTACAAACTTCCATTTGTTCGTTTCACCGTTCGTAGGACTAATGAGTGAGTTATTTTATGGTCTTAGCAACCTCTATTATACTAAGAATATTACTTCTTTACACCTGGTTGTAATAATTAGGACATCACTGTCTAGGACAGATCTTTATGATTTTCTACATTTATCTTTGGTTCTATAGCATCCTATCATAAACTGATCACCCACAGCTATCACCCCTATTGTTGGCAAATTATCCATTATATGAAAATCACTTAACGTAATCAAACCACTAAAGTCGATATTCAAAGATAACATTCCTCGATTAACTAGTTTCAAAATGTCGAACCTCTAAATTACGTACATAATTTTACTACCAGTTATAAACGGTCCTTACAAAGTGTTTTAACTTTGTTACTGCTCATACATCAACCAAAACAGATGGTTTTATACACGAGCCGCTTTCTCTTGTTCACTACACTTTGTCAAACATGAGGATCAACTTTAATCTAACTTACTAATTCAACAGCATAACCTGAGATTATGTTGTTTACGCTCTGCAGTTACCATAAATAGTTTTATAATAATGGTAGTCCAACCACTTATTTGATACCGGTATAATAACAAAATTCGAATACAGCTATAATTGACTATAAACTAAATATTTTTAGCTGCTAGATTTTAGCAGGGAATCGAATACCAGTTCACTGCTAAACTTTCGTAATCCGATAAATACTCTCACATGGCTACGTGCATACAGCCACTGCAAAGGAAGTCATATTCACTGCCTCCTCACATCACGGGTGTTGTTTACAATATTGAGAGGACGAAAAGAGAATGTCTGACGCTTTAACTGGGTTGGTGGACACAACAAGTCCACCTAGGGCAGCTGGGAAACCCTAATTGCAAACCAATGGTGCACATGGGCTCCACGATCCTGAAGGAACAAATGGCCTATGAACGTGCTATTGGTTACCGGCTACCATGGGACTGCATCTCCTGATGTTGCTCCACTGCCTTCTGCATTATACCTTTAGGTTGGAGGGTCCGGGTGCCCCCCCCAAGGAGACCACGTGCATCGGTTTGGGCATCCAGGAAGTATCCCAGCCCTCACATAAATCTAATGATTTATGTGGCGCATATCTATTTGGTGCCTCTTTGTACCAATGTTTATGTGCTTAAATAAATAAATAAACTGAATCTGCTTGTAATTGTCTAATGTACAGTTAAATTTCTCATCCCTGTATTTTTAAACGTTATACTTGATCACAGCATTTCTTAGTAATTTTTGTTAGAATTGATCACTCTCTATGAAGAATATAGATTGTGGTTAGTGGTGAGAATCTTGGATATGTTTTCCATTCTGTTTGTGACTCGTCATTCGAGTGTACATATATTCTGGTATTGATGTTCATACCCAATCTCGAACCCAACACCTTTCTCTATTAACGCCAAACTGGTTATTGAATGAGTTACTGAATCTTAGATAATCACACACTTGTCATTAGTTTAGTTTTTACATTGTCCATTGTCATTTAAGTTAACTTGTATTTATTAGATAAAAGTCTTTTTTTTCTGTAGGAAAAAAAGACTTCCCACTGTACACTCGTTTTAATTTCATTTATTTACCATTGATTTACATCTACTTACGTTAGTTGATTATTCTTAATTTATAGACCTATAACAAAACAGAACCAGGATGCCGCAAATAACAGTAAGTTACTGTTTTACTTTTAATGAGGTAATTAGTTCACATGGATTAGTCATTTAATGATGATCAAAGTGATGCTTATATAATTCTTTTTAGTATTGATTGAATTCTTTCGATAAAGTCTCAATATAGCTATAAGTCTTAGTAACTTACTTAACTCTTGACGACACTATGTTTTAATGTTCGTTGGTTTCGTGCTTTGTAACACTCGTTAGCAAAGTGTACTGGGAAGGTTTATGGAACTAACGTTTCATGTGATATTCAAACTTAGGTCACTCTGTAGTTAACAAGAACACGAGTGGGGACAATCGAATGTATCTGAATCTCTCAGTAAAATCTGAGAATCATACAGTAAATACCTAATTTGCAAAATATTAATTAATTGCCTTAAGCTTGGCTATTTCTTTTGCAAATACCAGTCTATTGTCTCAGATTTCATTGTTCCTGCATTTTCATACCAATTGCTTTCCGTTCACGTTCTTTCCTTCTCGATCTTCCACTGAAATAATTGTATTCGTAACTATCGTTATATACTACTTATGTGTATATAAGTAGCACACACAATTTAGCCTCAGTCTGATGTGTTTCCACTTGAGCTATTTGGGTTTATTGGTGACTACCTCCAGCCATTTAGGTAGTTAGTTTGTCGGTGTCGTTTCTAGTTTCTCTAGTTTGATATATATGGGGAGGGATGAGATAGTGATTGAAGTTAAGAAAAATCTTCTTCATCATTGTCATTTTTAGTATCGTCTCCTGAACAGCTAGCTCATTAATGAGTTTATTTCCATCAATTGAAAGATCCTAAGACATCTATCATTAAGATCGTATTGAGAATACTGAAGACGAAAAAGTTATACAACATATGCCGTTTCGCAATAGTTGTGTTAAATGTACATATTTTGGGGAGTAGTTATTTTTTGTGAAATCTTAGACTAGAACTTACAACGTAGATAAGGTACTGAGTAGAATAAACTGTCGAATATATGTAAAGAATTCAGTGATGTATCAGTGGTTAAAGCACTGAAATATCAAACACCAAGCCACAAGCTCAAACACTGCCTTACATACCTTGGTTTCTGATGTGTGAGCGAAGAAAATAATGATTGATTGTTTGCTTAATCATAGTAGTAGTAATAGTCTGACAAGTACTAAATGAATTATATATTTTCCTGCTCTTATTATTACTATAAGTGTTGTCAGTTTTTGGTGTGGAAATATACTTACGTTCTAGTCAGTCTAGCCACGTGTTCTGTCGAAGTCCTGTAGAATAGATAGTGAGCGGGGTATCTCTTTAGTAGAAACTTTGTACACATTACCAATCAATGTAGAACCCTAATGAAAATGTACATCACCAGTCAAGTTGACGCATTGTGTCCGTAGATCTACGTAAAATTAACAAGGTGAATATATAGTTAGAAAAGAATAAAAAATGAATAAAAACTATAGAATGACTATTGATGCTTCTGTATCACTATGACTGGTTTTGATTCAATGTCATGTCTATATAAAAAGCATTAGATTAATCGATCTCAAACGTTGATAATATCAAACTCTTTTTAATTATTTCAACAATATAGGCATTGAACCTTATCTACAGGATACTTTTAAACGTCTTGATGATAAAATGGAAAATTTTGGAGCACAATTGTCTAAATTGATAGAATCTTTATCACAGAAACCAGCGCCTCGACCTCCAAGGAAATCGCAAACACCCGCAGTAACTGCTAGTGCATCAAAGCCTAACTTAACATCAAAACCTATATTAGCTTCACAACTTTCACCTACTTCCACTTCTAAATCAACACCAGCATCCATAATGAAACCTGGATCTATACCAAAAAATGCATCCACTCCAAAGTCTATGATCATAAATCAAGCAAACTCTATTGTTTCATCCACTGAAAATAAACTCAAATCAACTCCGATTAAATCATTATCATATGGTCAAGTTTTAGAAAGCCAACATTTAAATGAAAGTGGGACTAAAAAGAAACAAAATGAATCATCGACACAAGGTGAGCGTTTGATCGTTTTCATAATGTTGGTTACTATGACTTAATTATATTGAATTTTAATTTGATCGCGCACGAAAACCAGTTGAAAAAGGATTTCCTTTTAACAACTACTTTCAACCGCCACCTTACATCTCAATTGAATCATTTAGATTAGTTGTCACATTTCAACTTGATCGATGAAATTCTATCAACACTAAAACGGATTTAATATACATGAGATTAGTCACGATTTATCTATTTAAAAACATAAACATTGGTACAAGGAGGCACCAAATAGATATGCGCCACATAAATTATTCGATGTATGTGAGGGTTGGGATACTGCCTGGATGCCCAAAACGATGCACGTAGTTTCCTTGGGGGGCCACACTTAGAGCTTTCGAGCTAAAGTTCTGATCCAATAGGCAGTGGAGCGACGTCAGGAGATGCAGTCCCATGGTAGCCGGTAACCAATAGCACGTTCATAGGCCATTTGTTCCTTCAGGATACTGGAGCCCATGTGCACCATTGGTTTGCAATCAGGGTTTCTCAACTGCCCTAGGTGGACTTGCTGTGTCCACCGACCCAGTTAAGGCGCCGGACATCTGCTGTTTCTTCCTCCCAATTTCGTAAACAACACCCGTGGTGTGAGAAGGCAGTGAGTAGGACTTCCGTGGTAGTGACTGTATATGCATGGCCATGTGAGAGCATTTCGAGAGGGAGATCTGACTCTACTCGTTCTCGGCCGTAACAGGGCATTTGGGGGCTACTTTGTGAATTCTATATGCTCGTTCAAAACTGTTGATTATTATTTGTCTTTATCTGATAATTTAGTCTTAGTATAAAACTCTTCAGTACAGTGCTCAACTATAACTTTGTCACAGACAGAGCAAACCTAGAATTTGTAAGTGTCACAGTAAGCGCGCTACTTTAAGTGATCAGTACAATTTTGCTCATTGCATTCTGCTTTTATTCTGAACATTCACTCTCGAACCGATCTGCCTAGTACTATTGAACCTAGAAGAACGAGTGTTCCAACCAATATTAATTGACTCAGTCATTGTGATGTGCAAACTCAACCACTACGTCAAAGTAGTAGCTGCGGTCGGGTACAAGTCTTGACATTTCACGGCAGTCATCCACTAATCATCATTGATGATAACTATTTCACTCTCTCGACTTAGTTGAACTTTTTGGACAAAATTCTTCTTGAAGTTATTTACTAGCTAAAATCAGTCTGTAATGTAGATTATTTGATAATTGACTAAACCGTCACTGGCTTCCATTCTGAGTTATGTCTGATAACGTCTCAAGCCACGGAATTACACTATCCCTTGGAATCCAATCTTTGAGTTTCGATTGGCTGACAGATGACAGTCTTATGCAGCATTTTTTATACCTCGGCACCATGTCATAAACTGGCGACCATTTCTGATTTTCCCAACCAGTGTCAGCGTCGGCAAATAAAGCAAAATGTGGAAGTCACTAAGATAACGTTCATAGTACATATCCAACCTATTCAAGTCGGTGTTTGAAAACAGTGATCCTGATTGAATTATTGTCACTGTACTCATGCTTCGTCGCTATAATCCTTTACATTACCACTAAAATGTTATCTAAATAACAGTAATTTAGTCTCTTTTTTTGTTTCTATCCAATATTTTAGGTCATAGTCAAATTGAAAATCCAAGATTCGCTTCAATGATTGATAAAGCTATTGATCATGTTTTAGACCGTATTAATAAAGGGAAAGATATTAAAATTGGACCGGTATTCCAAGAGAGATTAAGTTCTGTAAATAGATGCAATAATACACTTGATCATATCGATCTGTCGTCTAATCGTGTTGACATTGATGATGATGATGATAACAACAACGATGCCAATATCACTACTTATAACCATGTTGTATATGATAGAAATCAACATAATCTTAATATTAAACCTAAAAAGAATTTAGTTGCCATTTCACCATGTGTATCATTTATGGTGAAACCAGTTCAGAGTAGTGCTGGTAACAACATCAAGCTGAATAATACTAATAATAGAAAGGATCAATTATCCACTGAAGATTATGAAGAATTAGAATCATTTTTACAAAACGATTCTGTCATAAATCATGTTCATTATTCAACTGATTATGTTGTTGTTGATGACAATGACCGAAAACATAAACACAAAAAACGGAAATATACAAATGATAATTAGATAATAAAGCAATGAAATGACACTACCTGTACATATGTTCATGTGTGTGTGTGTGTGTGTTTGTGCTTGTGTCCAACTTCACTTTTGTACATAGTTACAAGTACTATATATATATATATATATATATATATATATATATATATATATATTAGGTCGGGTTTTTTTGTTTCGTTATACCGCGTGATATCTGTCTGTACTTTACCTGTTGACTAGTCCATTTATCACATGTATTACATAAGTGCTTCATTGTTTCATTTATATAACCTTTTGTTTTGATATAGTAACAAAGCAATAAGATCTAATTTATATAAATACACAATCTATTAACCAGAGAGTTTTCAATTTTCCTTTCAAGACTTATATGCTGCATTTTTTTCGAGATTGTATTCATCATCAATTGAACAATCTACCTAATTCCTAAAGTTATGATGAAAAATTGTAATCTTTGGATTAGATCCATGTCTAATGTGATAAAGCTATTCCTAATGGCATGAATTGATTAGAGCTAAAATCGTGCTACCATTGGATACGGATTGAGTGATCCTGACGGTGAAGCATCCATCTTGGGTCCGACCTGCGATGGGTTTATGAGCATGTATTTTGAAAGGAAGTCTCATACCAGGGTATAACAGCTATCTAGCGCTTCCTAGTTCTTAAACAGTATCACAATTGAGGTCAATTTGTAAGTGGTACAACCTAAAAATTAATGCTATCCACTCCAAACGCTTCAATATTCTTATAATTTCGGTTCCCTGAATAAAAAGATGAATTCCACAACATGCAGTCTTGTCCAAGATTTACACATATCTGACAATATAACAAATAAGAATGACACGAGAATAAACGATCGCAATAAGTATTAAATCAAATATACCATGGGAATGAAGCGGTCATGATTGAAAAGTTTAAAAACACTGAATATTATTAGAGGATACTGTCTAGTCCATTTTGTAATCGTTAGTCAAAAAATTACTGACATTCATTTCACCATAACGAGAAATAACTACGGAAAGATTTTAATAGAGTAGCTATTTAAATGACAAGGTTTATTATCCGAGGACAAATGTTCATCATTTTATTGGATTTGTTCACTAAGCTCTCTAATTGTTTTCATCTATATATATAGTAATAAGTAGTATGTGACAGTCTTTATCCCTGTCACTAATTAGTAGCCAAATGTTTTTGCCTTGTAACGTTGATGGAAGCTTTCTATCAAAATTCGAATAAAACAGTACTAATCTTTGGCAGTAAAACCTGCTGTGTTCATTAGTTTTTACAGCTAGTCATTAATCTTGGGTGCTATTAGAGGTATGAGGGTGGGTATCGCTTCTCGGTTGCCCACACCGTGGAAAGGTACTTCTGGAGGCACCTGAAAAGGAAGTCTCGTTAGGAGTGGTCTTAGTGACCTCGGAGCGTGACAACAATGCCCAAGGGGCAACTACTTGAGGTCGGTCACACACGAACCACCGGAGAGTGATATCCGTGGGATAAGGAGAGGTGTGCATTCATGAATATAAGATTGGGTTGTTTTTTTAAAAAAGCAATGACACGATTGTAAAGTGTATATAGTGTTGCTCAGCTTTAATGGTTAGGGATATTACCTTAACCCAAATGGAAATACACCATGTACTAATCACACATTTATCTTGACTATTGATATATGTGTGATGAAAATGCGTAAGTAGAATGTTCAAGTCCAGGCGAAAGTTAAGGAAAAAGTAAGAACACATGATGCGCTGATTATATCAGATCCAGTTGTATGTACTGGAAGAATGGAGCAGTCGCTTTTTCCTCACTTATCACTATTCGTCTGAATATGTTATCAATTCACTACTAATAAGTAGGAACTATCATTAGGCCGAATATTTGAAAATACTGTATTAGGATTATGCAAGTGAAATTGTTTAGTGTTTAGGCAACTTGACATTCGGCTAATGAATGTGAAGATTAACATCCGACATGAATCGTCCAACTATAACAAGTGGGACAGTTTATCCGACGACTCTGCCTACAAATACGTCTATCTTGATATTCGAATAACTTATGGTGGCTTTTTGGAACTTGGAGTGATTGGTTAAGGCCCTTTGAAATGCCACTCATAAGGAGTGAAGCCTTCAACTGTCGCTGGATACTCGAATCTCATATTATAAGTCAATGTTAATTCCCTTGCAAATTCAGATGCTTCTAACTGGTTGATATCATTTAGCGCAAAATCTATAATCAAGCACGGATACCTACTAACTGGAAATGACTAACCTTATAATTATTTACTATCATTCAGTGACCACTAGATGGGGAATATTGCGATTTTACCTGAACAGTTCTCAAGTAATCACTAAACACTCAAACGCCACGCCCTAAGCCAGATTAACGCCTTGCATTTAGACATAAACGAGATAAAGATGAACGTTTTTCGCAGAAAGTATGCAGTAGATGACTTAACTTATGATTTGAAAATACCTTTTATGAACTATATTACGAGTCTTATAGATCAGAGATCAGGGAAGAAACTCATCCAGTTACTGAAAGGACTGGAAAATCAAAACAGCCGAAAGCAAATTTCCAACTGACTTTAAAAGGTATGTACATAGTTTCTCAAGTGACGAACTAGATTTAAAAAAACTAGAGGTATTATCTCTAGGTCTAAAATTTTGTAATACTCGTAAAAACTGTAACCATATCGATACAGACATACAATTCGAGAATCTTTATAGTCATACACGTGATTTAGTTGTGAAGTCTGATCAGCAATTAGAACATTTTAAATCAACACTTGTAGAGTAGTGTTACCAATATAAGAACAATAAATTCAGTTACAAAAGCATTCTTACGAAGAAGCACAAGGAAGCTATTAACCTACTTCTCAAGGATAAGACGTTATTGATTATAAAACCTGACAAAAGTTCAGGTGTTGTTCTTCTTAATAAAAGTGATTATACTAAAAAAAATGAGTACAATCTTAAATGACAAATTAAAGTCTCAGAAAATAACTGACCAGAAAGATTTGAATAATAAGATAGAGAATGAGCTTACCAGATCTTTAAAGAAGCTCAGGGACCAACAGACTATCTCATCGGGTTTATATGAAATGATTAAACCAGTGGGAACCTATCTGCCGAGATCGTATGGATTGTCAAAGGTAAACAAACCGGGGATCCCATTAAGACCTATTTTAGATATATATAACTCTCCTTACCATACTATAGCTAAATGGTTGGTAACTGTATTAAAACCTCTACACGAAAAGTTTGTAAAATATAGTGTTAAGGATGTGTTCCAATTTGTTGATAAAATCCAAAATGCAAATACGGTGGGACGAAAGATGACGTCATTGGATGTAACATCGTTATTCACAAACGTCTCACTCATAGAGACTGTGGAATATATAGGTGAACAGTTGATTGAAAATGAAATTGAAACTACTGTTCCTATTCATGTCGTGAAAGAGTTATTACTCAAGTGCACTATGAATGTGAACTTCAAGTTCAATGGTGAAATATTTAGACAAACAGATGGTGTTGCAATGGGTTCACCACTAGACCCTATACTAGTTGATATTTTTCTAGCCAAACAAGAAAATGTTCCACTAAAAAGATTATTCAAAACTTCACATTTTACTGTAGATACATGGATGACACGTTCATCCTCTGTAAAGATAATACGTCGCCGCAAGAGGTTCTTAGGCGATTTAATGAAGTGAATCCAGCCATTCAGTTTACATCTGAAGAAGAGAGTGATGGCCGAATAGCCTTTTTGGACGTTCTCTTGACTAAGAGAGCGGATGGATCGTTAAAAAGGAACTTAAACAGAAAATGTACATGGATTGGGCAGTAAACGAATTTCCTGAGCTTTGTACCGCTACAGTACAAACGAAACTTGATCAAAAACATTAGTTACCGTATTCGCACTATATGTTCTGCTGATATAGTTGAACAAGAGCTTAACACCTTGCATAATACTCTCAGGGAGAACGGCTACCCTAGGAAGTTTATAATTAAATATATGGTCACGAAGGAGAAATACAAACAGTGAAGAAATTCCTGTTCATGCGTCTACAGTTCAAAGGGGATGCGGCTGGTGAAATACTAACTCAGAGATTACGTAGGACAATACAAAAGTCTTTTAACGCCGGAGAACTGCGATCAGTATTTTCTAGGCGCCCAATGGTTACACCGAGGCTAAAAGACGAATTACCTAGAATGACCACCTCATTTTGTATTTATCAGTTCGACTGCTCCTGTGGAGTGAGTTATATCGGTCGAAGTTCTAAGAATTTACATTTTCGTGCTCCCCTATACATGATTCATTCACTTCGCATTCATCCCTCTGTATTACGTCTTACTTATTTGATCGAATTGTAATTGCACTATTATTTCTCCCTCACTCTATTCGACCCATATTTATTCTGATCATGGATCTTAAAATTTCACTTAACATATACGCAGATTCAAGTTAACATTCTATGAGTCATATTAACATTGACAATTTTTTGTAAGCAATGATGGATAGTGGAATCCAGTTTGACGCGCGTTTCGTCCTATTTGGGACTCATCAGCTGGATGTACCTTGTTTATCACAACCCTAAATTCACATGCTTTAAACGATATACTTTGTCCTTAACCTGACCATTTTTCAGATTATTAATTTAGATATATGACTTGTAGAACCTGAAGAGAATTTATCGAAAAGAATATTCATCGTTCAAATACTAGTGTTTTAATCATTAAGTGTTGAACATAGTCGACTAATTTTTCAATAACGACCAACCACTTATGATATGTCGGAATTAAAAGCTACATGATGAACAAACTGACAAATGAAAACATTCATCAATGAAGATTTAACCTCCAATGATGTATAGAATCATAAACTTCGTGGTCTTAGTTCATCGGAACTGTAGAACGTTGAACTAGTTAACAAGATGAATCAAAATAGATATCAGTTGTCAAAATACCTTCAAAAATTTGTAGATACATAGTACATGGTTGGGGTCTGTGCGATCATTATGATCAGTGATTACAGGCAAACAATAACACTATTCACACACAATCAGCCGAAATAGCGTAGATGCATTTAATTTCTATCTTCCTCTCGATTTTGAATTCCAATTTCCCCCTTTTCACTCTGTTCTTGTATTCTCAGTGTTCAGATTTTCGCATTACAATTGATAATATGATTATTTCGACTCGTTTACCATCCATCTTATGATAACGGATTGAGCTAACGCTCTACCTTGATTTATTACTGACTAGTTGCTTAGAAACTATCACTATTCGTTTTCTTTTATCATCATTCATAAACGAATTGCTCCTTCCCATGCGTATACAGCCTCTGACAGGGAAGTCCTACTCACTGCCTTCTCGTACAACGGGTGTTGTTTACGAAATTGAGAAGACGAAAAGCGAATATCCGGCGCTTTAACCGGATTCCAAACCAATGGTGCACATGGGCACCAGTATCCTGCGGGAACAAATGGCGTATGAACCAATCGTTGATCACCGGCTACCATGGGACTGCATCTCCTCACGATGCTCCACTGCCTTGTGGGTTAGACCTTTAAGTCAAAGGCTCGGGATGCGGCCCTCTAAGATAACCACCTGCTTCGGTCTGGGCAACCGGGCAGTATCACAGCCCCCCCCCACACACAAATATGATGTGGCGCATATATATATATTTGGTGCCCTCTTGTATCAATATTCATGTGTTGAAATAAATAACCCTTTAAAAGGCATCATTATAATTCATAGATTACAACATTCAACATACTATTTTTGTCTATCGGCCAATTTTTTAGTCAAAACATTATGAAGAAAAGAAGAGAAAAAAAACAGGAATGAGATCAATAAAAAGAAAATAAACAAACAAACAAACAAATAAAGGAGAACGGAATACATTGCAATCGATTGATGAATGAACTGATTAGAAAAATTAGATTTGACCATTGGAAATATGAATCACAGTTTGATTCTCTTTAAAATAAACTCCATCATATATGATCCAATTGATATACACATATAGACTTTATTTATTGAATAGAATTGATGAAGTAATATCACCAAGTGAATTTCACATATACGGTGATGATGATGGTGGTGGTGGCAGTGGTGGTAATAATGATTATGTTTATGTATAGACATGGTGACAAGTTTTATTTGATTCAATTATTGCATAAAGAATTTATTTGTGAATTCATTGTAATAAGATGATTTTTCATTGCGTAATACTGATTGATACGAGAGATACCATATCTATAAATAAATAAATAGGAGAGTGAGAGAGAGATAGAGGGGTATAGAGACGGAAACAAAACGAATCATTATAAACAATGACAGTTTTTCATTGACATCCTCATCATCATCGTCATAAATTACAGATTAGTTTGTTAGTAAACTATAAACAATGTGACATAAATATCAGTTAGTGCACTATTACGACATACAATACTGTTATGACTTGATGTCCGGCTTTTTTTTAATCACGTGATTTATCCACCAATCAAAATACGACTTATACAATCGTGGCACTGTGCCAAACCAATGACGTTCGATCGGTATGGGCAGTCTAGCGTCTTTATTTGGTTCTATGTCCGCGCCTATCTCGTCTACTTGAGTTCAGAACACTAAATACCAGCTTCCAATATGCCAATCGAATCGAATCATTTATTTCGGACATCATACTTGGTTTATATATCAATCAAACAGACCGCAACGCACCATAAAATAGGAAATAACATTTCTACACAATAAAGCCAAAACGTGACTGTGAATGTGGGAGGCAGTAGTCAATAAACTGAACATAGACTTAAGAACCGTAAATCGTAAAATAATAAATTATAAGTCAAAATCAAGCTTATAACAAGGGGAATATAAATATATATAATCTAATTATTGAATAATTATATCATAAGAATATATAGATAATATTAGTCCATTAAAAGGTTTCAGAAGTTACCCGTAATGTAATCTTCACTAGGATATAACAAATACCATAATGAAATTCTATGTATTGATAATGATAATAAGAAATACAAAGTATTAAGAATGTGATTAATGTGAAGATGGAATGAAAAGGTATATATGTGATGGAATACTGGAGTTAAAGGATCGAGAGGAAGATAAAGAGTGAATCCACCTGAACAGTATCACTCATGAAATTCACTTGGTATTGTTTATTTGTATCTTCCTATTGATGCTTAGGACTGCAATTGATCAGTGTCTCTTGTTGGTATATGCGCATCCTGTACAGATTGCCTCGATATTGCCTTAGGTATCACCCACCGTTTCCGACTATTAGTTGTGGTTATCGTGAGGATTTCAATCAGATAGTTTAACTCTACCGAAATGGTTTAGATCAATATTCAACGACTTCATATACGTACTTTCTATTTATTCCAACACCAATAAACATCATATATCCAAATATACAGTGGTTGAGTATACGTAAAACATATCTGTTAAATAGTTACAATCGATTGTTAGATAAAATAGTTCAGAATACTGACGCAAAGATACCAAATTTATTGTACTTCAGTACATGTTTAGCAACACCATTTTATTCTGCTTTTTTGAACATTATTCTTAATCTTTCTGACTATAAATGGTACTATGATTGCTTCGATTCTTTGGCTATTCACCTTTTTAATACCATCTCATCAGGCTGATTTAGTATGATAACTTAAACTAACACACATATATGTCAGATCCTTTGTTGATTATGATTAATTGACTAGAGGTTAACCATATCGTACGTGACAAAAATGATAAACTAGTTGATGATCTTGTAAATTTTCATCAACTGAGATGATTAGGACATCTATTATGTATGTCCAACAATCGACTATCTTGACAAACAATTCTTGCTAGTAAATTGGAAGGTAGGGATGGCTCAATCTGAACGTAGCAGAAGTCCATCAAGTCACTAATGGTTTTTGCAGATCCGACGCTTACATGATGTTCGGGAACAGAAAACGCCGGAAAATAAGGCTGATTTAGGACATGTACGTGAATGTTCTGACTAGCTATTCACTCTTCATCGGGTTATAGATAGGTATACACATCACATCATAGTTGCATTCCTTAACTTCAAAATGACATTCGCTTTCGACTTTATGTTGAACTGTTATCATAGGAACCAGTGGCATCAGCCCATGAAACGACTAACTATCGGTCTGAGGCATGGGGTAAGATACAGAGTGATAACGGCGATCAGTATTTAGAAACTTTAGGTGACATCGTTCAGAATCATGAACAATGGATTAGATGCATTCAGTTCTTATCTTTCTCTCGATCTTGAATTCCAATGTCCCTTCATACATACCTTTTCATTCTGTCTTAACGAATTGAATTCCTAATGTTTAATCTTTCTTTTTAACTTCGCTATGACATTAGTTCGATCTGTTATGTTATTTTCATTTACTAGCGCTTATCTCTAGTACGACAGCTGGTTGCAATGTACAATTTTATTGATGATGTTTGTCTATCTATCTATATGTCTGCAGTCATATGTAAACATTATTGGGCACTTTCAAGCTGACAGAAAATCATCTTACGCCTGTTACCACTCATAGAAAACAGGCCACCACCACCAACGAACTTTGTCCTAGGCTGTCCATTACCAGTTCTCGCCAGGTACTGTTCATTTTTTTGATTTCTGCATCCAATTCCTGACACATTGTGTTCTTTGTTCTATCTCTTTTCCTCCATGCTTGATGATTCCATGTTGAGGCTTGCTTCGTGATGCAGTTTGGTGATTTCCATAATGTGTGTCCTATTCATTTCCAGAATCCTTTCTGGATTTCCTGTTCACCTGGAAGTTGGTTGATCCTTTCCCATAGTAGATTGTTTCTGATGGTATCCGGTCAACGGATCTGGAGTATATTGCGTAGACAACTGTTTATAAATACCTGTACTTCTTTGATGTTGGTTGTAGTTCTCCAATTTTAAGCTCCCTACAATAGGACTGTCTTGACGATTCTGATTTTGATGTTTGCTAACATATTTTGAGTTCCATATGCTCGTCAATTGTAGGAAGGTTTCCCTTGTTTTGCCAATCCGTGCCTTCACATCTGCATCAGATCATCTTTGCTTATCAATGATGCTGCTTAGGTACGTAAAGCTTTCCGCCTCTTCCAGAGCTTCTCTATCAAGTGTGATTGGGTTGGTGCTCATTGCGTTATCTTCTCTTGTAAATGCTGAGGTCTACTGCTGCAGAGGCGAATTCTACAATGGATGTCTTCATCTGGATTTGTTGCTGTGTATGAGATAGAAAAACCAGATCATCTGCAAAGTCCAAATTATCTTACTATGCCTAAACTTTCTACTGCATTCCATGCTTTCCCTGAGATGTGTAGATCTTAGTAATCCAGTCAACCACTCCACCTAATGCCCTTCTAGGGTTACTGCTGATCTCAAGCCTTAATTAAAGGAGGAGGGTTAGAAACCCCATCCCACAGAAAAGAACCTCGCTAAAAAAACCAGGGAGAGAATATAATCAGTTGGTTAGAATTGATAGAAAAATAATTATTACTTACGATAAATAATCGAATTTCGTCTGTTCTTGAACCGATAATATTACTGCCCAAACACCCCAGAACAAGTGAGCCGACTGTGTAAATGACGAAATAATCAAGAAACAATTAGATATTAACACATACCGTGATATTTATAAGTAAATATATTCCATGAATAACCCAACTGATCTAATAAAAAAGGCTATTTGACAAAGTTTAGGGTTCATAGTTATATAATATACCCTTGTGGGCCAAGGTAATTTGACATTGGTTTTCGAGAGTACCAGACACCATCCAGACTTTCACCTGACAACCTAAACAGTACAGCCAGACACCACACAGGCTTAAAATTTTTAGCCCAAATGGTACGACTCAATACTGTTTTCAGGAGAACCAGACACCATCTAGGCCTAGACTTTATAACCCGAGCAATACAGCTCAATCCCGCTTCACAGCAGAACTATACACCATCTAAGCTTTAACGCTACAGTCTGGATAGTACAGCTCAATCCCTTGGCGCAACCACACGGGTACCTGGCACCCTGGTGGATCAAACGTTAAGGGTAGTCACTTACCTCGGTTCAAGAAATTGGTTACTATCATTAGCTTTCACACTTACACTGTGGCTCATACCCAATATACTTGGTGAGTGAGTTAATTCTAAAAAAATTTACACACCATATAAATACGTCACATCTATGACAGTATAACACACTTTCCTATCTTCATCCTGATTGTTCAAGAGATCTGTAGGAAGTCTCCAACCTTATCCATTTTCTATACTACTGACATTTCTTTAAACTCACCAATTATTAACAAACAAAAGAGACAGTTGAATACAGAAAGAGAATGTTTGTATAACACAAAAACCTTAGAAAATAAAACACCACTCTCTATCCAGACGTTGTGAGCACTTGGATCTTGATTGAATAAATGAGACAGAAGAAATTAGAAGTTCATTAGTGACAAGCTATAAAGATTAATTCATTACACTATTATTTCCGACAGTATCTTTCACTAACAACATACGATAAGTTATGACTAATATGATAATGAAGAATATTTGTAGCTCCTGATGAAGATTTTGAAGGTGTTTAGTTCTCTGATGTGGAAGATTTATTCGTGAAGTTTTCAATGTCAAGAACATTATCAGCACACAGTTCATTAAGAAGGAAGTTATTTGGATTTCGTCAGAATTAACTGATTGCTTGTGTTCTGTTAACCTAGAATTTGGTTGTATATAGGTAAGTTGGTCGTTATTTATTTTAATGTTAATAACTTACTTCTTAATATAGTATGTGCTGATCATAATTGATTGATCACTGGGTAGTGATCAATGTTATGTGTGTCAAGTCTTTCTTAGTGCAGATCGAATGCTATCGAATTCGTCAGGGAGCACTAGTTCCCTTAAGATTACAGGTACACCTTGCTGACGAGTGCCAAGTAGCACGAAATCCGGGTCAAGGGTTTCCTGTTGACTACCTTCAACCACCATCTAACAATATGTGCTGATAATGTTCTTGACAAGAAAAATACTGGAAAGCTTCACGATTAAATCGTCCAGTTCACAGAATACGCTAAACAAAAAAAATCATTTGAACTCCACCTGTAGCGCTTCTAGGGTTACGACTGGTTATGTTAAGCAGCCTGTTATGTAAAGGACGTTGACTGTTTTCAAGACAAATTCCCTTGCATATCTAACGTTCGGATCATTGAGCATACCAAGGTCATCACAAAAAATTCAAAAAACTGATATAAAGTAGAAAAAATTGTAGAAACCAGAGAACTGGGAAACTGTCTCGTTAATGTTTAGGAATGGCTATTCAGTAAGCACTTACAATCCCATCAAGGATTTAACTTAGGATCGATGTGTCTTACATTCGGCATGACTCATCTTCAAACCATTGAGTTGAAATTCACAGGTCTACATGATCTCACTTTCAAGTTAACGGACTCCTTAGACTTCTCAATAAGATTTTCAGAAATCCATCTCGAGGTTATTCATCAATTAACATAAAAGTATTACTTCAAAAAATCAAGAAGAGTTTGGATGGAGTCAGTAATTATCACTTCCCAAATGAATACTTCTTGAAATAAGTGGAAAGAAAATTGAGTTCATAATGGTCATGCCAACCTTGGAGCGTAATCGCAGAGCCTAAACGATATTTGCTTGAGGTTGATTGAATAGTCTTTTTGTCAATAGTTTCGATATAAGAGCTCCATGTTTTTATGACCTTACTGCAGGTGCACTACTTTGGAACTGACACTCATTGATCTTTTTTTCAATGTAAAGAAGTAGTCTATCCGAAGATATCAATTATTTGTAGAAAATACTTTATTGAGGTCACACACCTTCAGATCCTATATGTTGCTCTTGATCTTACTGAATACTCTCTCTAATCGATTTCTTTGGCAATATAAATGACTATTACTAGATTTTAATAAAGTATATTTATTATATGCAAAGATGGATAGTGGCTAGAAGTAGAGTCCAGGACGCACGTTTCGTCCTATTTGGGACTCGTCAGCCGGATGTACCTCCATCTCAGAGTTGACATTCACTCTGGGACTCGAACCCAGAATTCCATCACGTTATCCACTTAGCTACAGAGTCCTGATAGCCACTTGCTTGTGCAATGGGATGAGATGCAGGTACATCCAGCTGACAAGTCCGAAATAGGACGAAACGGGCGTCAAACTGAATTCCACTGTTAGCCACTATCCATCTTTGCTTATAATGCCTATGACCTAAGGTAATATCGAGGCAATCCGCACAAAATGCCAATAAGAGTGACTGACCAATTGCAGTCTTAAACATCAATGGGAAGTTTCAATAAACAACAATACCAAGTAAAGTATATTTCTATTACCAATCCGCATATATATCTATATCTATATAATACTTACCAGAGCAAAATTATTCACTTCAATCAACCATTTCTCAAGTAACCTTTCATTTTCACAATTATTATTATTATTATGATCTTGATCCATATGATTCGAATGTGAATTGATCATTATAGGAGTAGTGGAATATCCATTATGAATAATTTCCGTTTGTTGATTGAATTTTTTTTCATAATAATTTTTTGCTTTTAAATATTTACTTATCCACATACGTTGATATTCTTTTGTTGGATAATTATCAAAATTGACAACATTGATACCTAATCATAATAGAAATAGGAAATAGAATAAATGATTAACAACTTAATAATACCATTTAGTGCCCCCAAATGCCAGGGTATGGCCGAGAGTGAGGTGGGCCCGCCCTCCCTCTCGAAATGTTCTCACACAGCCACGCGTATACAGCCTCTGCCAGGGAAGTTCTACTCACTGCTTTCACGCACCACGGGTGTTGTTTAGGAAAACGAGAGGACGAATAGCGAATATCTGGCACTTTAACCGGATTCCAAACCAATCCTGAACATGGGCTCCAGGATCCTGAAGGAACAACTGGTTTATGAACCAATCGTTGGTTACTGGCTACCATCAGACTGCATCTGCTGACATTGTTCTACTGCCTTGTGGATCGAACCTTTAGGTTGAAGGCTCCGGGGGTGTCCCCCTAAGAAAACCACCTGCTTTGGTTTGGGCACCCAGGCAGTATCCTAGCCCTCACACAAATCGAATGATTTATGTGGCGCATATCTGTTTGGTGCCTCTTTGTACCAATGTTCATGTGTTTAAGTAATAGTAGCAAGTAATACCATTTAGTAGAACTTGTTTTCATATGATTAAGACTGCTATGGTGTGTGCTACTTATATTGACATAAGTAGTATATGATGTTAGTCGTGAACAGAATGTCTGGCAACAGAGAGACAAAAGAAATGAACAATAAAGAATGGAAACAGAATGCAATTTGTATGAAAATACAAGAACAATGAAGTCTGAGTCATTTTCAGACAATTGATGGACATTTTGCAAATTACGTATTTACTATTTGATTGTTAGATTTTATTGACAATTTCTGTAATTTTGTGTCAAATACATTCGATTGTCCCCACTGGTGTTCTTGTTCACTACACTGCTAGTAATCGATAAAGATTGTAATTAACAGTATAGGGTTTTGGAGATTATTAAGTTTTTGACTGAGATCACCACTATTGGAGTTAATCCGTGTCGGATAGAGACAGTACAATGGAAGATTGTCGCGCGATTTCGTGGATTGGTTGAGGTTAGACATTAACACAACTGGATGCCGGCCAGCTCAGTGGTCTAGAGGTTAAGCGTTCAAGTGAGAGACTGAAGGCCATGGGTTCAAATCCCACGAGTGAGATCGTGGATACGTACCGCTGTAGAGCCTCACAATAGAACGAAACAGCGGACCAGTGCTTACAAGTTTTCAATGATGGTCTAACATCAATCGGTTCATGATCTCGATCAAAAAGAATGTAATTAATTTGAGGGTGATCTCGAATGCTGTGAGAGATAATGAAAACAAATGTCACTTCCAACTTGCTTGAATTTCTTCTTTGAGGATATGGGAAGGAAATTGGGTTAAAGGGTGATCTTGATGACCTGCGGACGAGACCATAGTTTTCAGGTGACAACTTCTTGAGGTCAGTCGAACACTATCTTTATGAGGGTAGCTTTCGATGGATCTGTTTTTAAGGCCTTAACCGCCTGCATCACAAATTCGTCGGGCAATGTGTGGAGTGTGATTTTTAGCAGCAACCTTCAGTAAGCCCTATCCTACGGTTGTGTGAGAGTAACATTACTAGAGATGTTGATTTTCTGAGGAAGACAACTTATTCTCGTCTGAGTATAGTATACTTGGTAGTACGATAATGTCCGTGGACCTTAAATTCCTGTTTTTAACTGTACCACTTTCAACCAAATCGCCTGGGATAATATAACCCGAACAATAGGATAATCCAGCAAGTATGGTTTGAATAGGTCATTACGATATGCAAACTCGATTATTATGTCAAAGTAGGAGCTACATTCGGGCTGTACTATCTTTTATATATGTCACTGTTACACAGAATGCCACTCATTTGTCAAATCAGACACATATTATGCAGTATACTCGTAAGTGTATGTGCCGGTTATGTTTCTTCATTTACTGCTTTCACAACTATTATGAAACACTCATTACTTCATAAACAGAAATACTGCGCTATGTTATCGCCTAGACATAAACAAACGAAAAATGGCAATAAACAAAACCAGTAGTTCATAATTAATTAACAGTAATTAAGGATTATTGTCAGAATGAGGATTTGTGGAGATTGTAGTAATTTTTAATAGTTGAATTATTGAGTTGGTTTAAGCTAGACCACCATTGAAAACCTGGAAGCACTGATAATAATCATATGCTCACTAATGACTAGCTTCAAGATGGATTTCCAGGAGTTCTAGTGAGAAGCCGTAACTAGTGGAGTCCGATTCGTGTCGGGCAAAAACTGTTATCCACTTCAGACAATGGATGAAGGGTTGTGCAAGATCATCAATCGACCGAAGTTAGACATTAACACCGTTAGATGCCAGCTCAGTGGTCTAGAGGCTAAACTTCCGCGCGCAAAACATATGGTCCCGGGTTCGAGTCTCACATACAGGATCGTAGCTGCGCAGTGTTGAGGAGTCCCATACTAGAACGAAGCAGCCATCCAGTGCTTCCAAGTTTTCAGTAGTGGTCTAGCTTAGATTGACTTATCCAGTCCGACGGAAGCTCACGATAAAGAGAAATATAAAATTAGAATGATGCAAATGATTAAATAATTTTATACAACAGAACTATAAACAATAACCATCCATCAAAATAATCCGATAAGTTTCATTAACGATAATGTAAATTGTTTACATCAATAATTAAAATGTTAAAATTATCAGTTGTATATTGTCTATTTTTTATTTATTTATTTAAACACATAAACATTGGTACAAAGAGGCACCAAACAGATATGCGCCACATAAATCATTCGATTTGTGTGAGGGCTAGGATACTGCCTGGGTGCCCAAACCAAAGCAGGTGGTTTTCTTAGGGGGCCACACCCGGAGCCTTCAACCTAAAGGTTCGATCCATAAGGCAGTAGAACAACGTCAGCAGATGCAGTCTGATGGTAGCCAGTGACCAACGATTGGTTCATAAACCAGTTGTTCCTTCAGGATCCTGGAACCCATGTTCAGGATTGGTTTGGAATCACGGTTTTCCAACTTCCCTAGGTGGACTCTCCGTGTCCACCAAGCCCGCTTAGAACGCCAGATATTCACTTTTCGTCCACTCAATTTCGTAAACAATACCCACGCCGCGAGAAGGCAGTGAGTCTATTTAATTTCATAAATTATTTACACATTTAATATAAATATAATCATGATTAAATAATCTAGAATGTGGTATAGTGTGGTCTTTATATGAACTAATGATTCATTTGTACTTGATGACTGTTTGATTTCGAATTTTAAATACAATACGTTCGTTCGTGGTTAGCTAGTTCTTCTTGGTCTAAATTGTGTTATTTCTGAGATTCTTAGTTTGTATAATAATTCAAATACTTGTAATCATCACAAACACTTTACTAGAGACATAACTGATAGGGTGGATATTGATGAGTCTTCCATTTCAGAGGAAAGAAAAACCCTGTAGACTCTGTCTATACGCCTTAGATAGTTTAATTGAAACAGAATATGTATACAATATACGTATATATTATGCAAGATGACTTTAAGACAAAAACTGGTAAGAATCCCCACTTGACAGAGATTGCATGCTACTTGAAGTCATATTCTAAATAAGTACAGCTATGGAGAAACAAATAGAAACAGGGTATAGAATGCATGAAATAATATGAAAATTAGTGTCACCAAACGTTTGTGGAGACTACTGAATACTATTGACATCACGGATCTACTTAAGCTAGACATCCGTTGAAAACCAGAAGGCACTGGATAGCTGTTTCATCCTAATGGGAGATTCCTCAGAAGCTCACATCCATGACCCCATAGAGGATCGAACCCATGATCTTTGATCTTGTGGCCAACACCTGACCTCTAGACCAAGAAGCCGAGATCTATTGATGTACAAGTGGTCTAGAAGTTAAGCATCCCTTCGCGAAGCCGGTTCAATCCCTAGTTTCAGGATCATGGATGCACATGCCTGAGAAGTCCGACTCTAGGACGAAACGGCTTCCCAGTGATTTCAGGTTCCAATGGTTGTCTTAGGTTTATTCGCAATCTTAACAAAATTCAACAATCTTCACAACCCCAACATTGATGCCTATTTATATTTCACTACCAACTCATGCCTAGTCAATTCATTAATGCGTTGGATGATTGCCAACCTATTAATGCTACTACTATGCACTGCCCGACTTCCAATCTATTCAGTTTAAAGGGTTTTGTGAAAGCTAGAGAGTAATGGAAGGTCGTTTTGTTCAATTATAGGACTCCTCAACAATCCTTTCTACGCTTTAGATAATCTTCGATAGAAGTATTGAAATGTTTGCATACTCTTAGCAATACATGATGCTATAATGATGATTTATCAATAGACAATATCAATATTTGAGTCTCTATTAAATAAAAAAACGTACGTACATGCGCAGATATGTTAGGTGGTTAGAGGTAGTCAGGAGAAAACCCTGCTTAAACCTGGCTTCTTTGAAGATGGTGATCATCAAGAAAACGTACCTGCAACCTTGAAGGGATTGATGTTCACTGGCGGATTCGAAATAAGAGTGATTAATCAACATAAATGTCACAATTCTACAACACAGGTCAATCACCTCCCGAATAGCTCAGTGGTAATGTCCCAAACAGTAAAAAAAATGCATAACGCAGGTTCAAATCCACCAAATAAAATCAGTTCCATGAGATCGCAAACACTCATTGTTGACGATTACCAATTAACCTGAAACAGAGGTTTAGTGTTTTCTGATAAATACCTCTAACCACTTTACATCTCATCAACATTGTGCTCGCGATATTGTACGATCTAAGTTGTTGGTCACATAAGGATTTGATCAATAGAATTCGATTGTCATTTAGGACTAAACAAACATAATATTGGTCATTATACTCAGAGACAACAAAAAGAGTCCTTCTAATCAATGTATTTAATTAATTATTTATTATAATTATCGATTATCACTTACCGGCAAATTCACAGAAATGATTCCCAATATCAAATGCTGCATGATTAAATCCACAATATTCAAAATCAATAAAGTGGACTGATTCTTTTTTATGACAAGTAAAGAAAAGGTAAACACAGAGAGAGAGAAATAGAAATGTTAAACAACATTCTATCTACAACATTTTAATGTAAGAAAAAACAACATTATTCTTATGAAAAAGCAAGAATGGATGAGGTTTTATTTAAATATGGCTTCAGGGGGTATTTCCTGGAGTTCTAATGAGAAGCAGTGAACAGTGAAGCTCAACCGGGTCTGTTGTGAGATAGTAACTCACTGAAGACCCTAGTGGATGGTGGCGCAATTTTGTGGATTAATTGAAGTTAGACATTAACACCGTCGGCTGGCGGCTCAGTAGTCTAGGGGTTAAGCGTTCGCGTGCGAGACCGATAGGTCCTGGGTTGAGATCTCGCGAGACGGGACCGTGGATGCCCGCTTCTGAGGAATACCACACCAAAACGAAACGGTCGTCCAGTGCTTCCAGGCTTTCCATGGTGGTCTAGCTTCAATTGATTCATGATCGCAACTATTGAAATATGTAGTTGTCTATTTATATGCTCTTGTGAAGTACGCTACTACATGGTTACATAATGTCTACTCATTCCACACGCATATCTAAACACTACGCTTTATGGTTATCTAAGAATAAAGGAAAATTGGTCATCAGCTTATGAGTTAAAGAAGATAGAGAGAATGAATGCAACTACGCCACTGTGACTGATTTGTACTATGTTGCCAAAAGTTTTAAACCATTGATAAATGCTATTGTGAAGGCAACAGTGCGGAAGTCTGAAAATACCGACATGTTTCAGATAAGAAATCAATGAGTTTATAATGTGATACAATGTCTTTAACATCCCGGCCCTAGCTTGTTGCCAACTTAATCATATGTCAGCTAGCACTTTACGTCTAGATAGAAGAGGTCAGAGAATAAGAGATGACAAATGTGATTATTGAACTGGGACTTAACAAATATACGGAACATCCTGGTGGTTCTTCGACTAAAGCATGAACAAATTTTAGATTCATTGGTTTCATATGATCTTTACGTAACACTGTTTGTCAGTAATCGACTGATACATTACATGAGAATGAGTTGTTTGGTTGTGTCCGAACAATTCATTACATTCGGTAGTAATACCATGTAAGTTTTGTTGAACTTCAGTGGTGTTTTAGGGTGCAGTAATAGTAATCTAACCAATGCCACAATATTGAAACACCAGTTTCGGTGACCCGCCTAAGTGCTACGAATCCTATCCAAACAGCTTCCCCCATCAGGCATTATTTTCCTAGGCCGGTTTACCATATAGATTACACCTCGTGGAGGAGCATAGGCCGATCACCAGTACTCTCCATCCAACCTAGCATTTAGTCAATTGCAAATGCATTTCAGTCCTACAAGATGTAAGTTGCGGCCCAGATATCTCAGTGGCAACGTCTCTGACTGTGAGGCTGGGTGACACGAGATTGAACCCGTCTGGGAGCATCAGTCCCCTCAAGATTACAAGCACAACTTGCTGACGAGTGTCAAATAGCACGGAACCTAGGTCCAGGGCTTCCTCTCGATTATCTATAACCAGCACCTTACACCTCAATATAGTGACCGTGATGTCGAGTCACCTAGACTAGTGACCACATTGCAACTTGGTCAGTGGAATTCGATCTGTGCTAAAAAGAGACCTGACACAAATGAAATTGGTCACGACTCAGTGATCAATCAATTGTAAATGACGTGAATTTCGTAGCCATCTTACTAACTGAAATTCATCTTTCAAATAGCATTACCGTTCATCCCATTATTGACTATACTTCGCTTCCTCTTTCTATTTCTACTGGTTAGCGTTTTTAGCGAGTTAGTTTTCTACGGGATGGGGTCGTTAACACTATGCCCGACCCTTCTCCTTTATCCTGGTTTGGGACCGGGAGTAGCCCCAGGGGGTTCCAGGTGGTGTTTGATTTCTACTAAGGAAATCATAAGATTACTAAAATTTTGTTAATAATGCTAAAACCTTAATAGAGACAATAATCGTGAATTCCTTTTTTCTAACACCACTTGGAGAACTACAGCCAGCATCAAAGAAGCACAGGCATTTATAAACAGTTGTCTGCGCAACATACGCCAGATCCATCAGAAACAACCTACTGTGAAAAAGGACAAGCCAACTTCCAGATGAAGAGGAAATTGTGAAAAGATTCTGGAAGTGAATAAAACACACATTGTGGAAATCACCAAACTGAACCAGGAAGCAAGACTAAACATGGAATCATCAAGCATGGAGGAAAATAGATAGACCGAAGAACACGTTGTGTCTGGCATTGGAGACAGACATCGAAACAATGAACAGTACTTGGCGAGGACTGGAAATGAGAACCCGTGACAGAGTTGGAATCCTTATTAGTGGCCTGTACTTCATGAGAGGTAACAGGCGTAAGCAAGTAAATAAAACACACTAATCCAAAAAAATCTCTCCACTTCAATCATGACGACGTTCAGCGTTAAATATGACTAGTAATGCTACTACTAAAATGCAACAAAAAAGGGGTATTTCAACTTACTTTCATCCGGAGGCATGACAATATTTCCAGCTAATAAGTCATTATGACATAGGACAACTGGGGAAATAGGATTTTTAAGTAATTTCTCTAAATATGCCACTTCATTCAAGAGGACTGTTTTTGAAGGAAATTCATTTTTAAGTCTAAAACAAGAAAAATAATTTCTTTATTACGATTAAATCATATGGTTCCCATATTGAGGGTATCTTAATGATGAAAGCATTCCGTATGCTGTAGGTCCCAAGCATGCTCGATCTTCATTTTGGAAAACCGTGTTAGTACTAATTATCAACATGCAAACGATGTGTAATTCAATCCCGAGTAGTTTAGTCTGGCTCTTGGTAGATAAGTTACATTTGGTCAGGCATTTTAGATATATTAATGTATGCATTTTGAATCATAACTGAATAAAATACAGTAGAGAATTAATAAACCTTCTATCTCCAACTTCTAATATGATGATAGGTTAGAAGGAGCTCGAAGACTAATAAGCGTTAAGGTTTTGGCTGTTTTTGGTGGAGTTTTGTTCTCTGAGCTGGATGGTTTTGGCTGTTGTTCATTGATCGGTGTGTCAGTTATTAAATAAAAGGTCACTGATCCTACTATCAATATAAACAGATTAATCAATAGTTGAACCAGATAATACAACTGCTGCCGTAATAACGGCTAAACCACATTGGACCTAATACAATCCAGGTCTCTATTCCTCCATTCTTTGTTGCATTGTATTCATTCATTTGTTTACGTAATTGTTATCTTTTACGATTTTATTCAGTTCCGATGTACACTTTCTATGATACACCGAACCCACTATGGTAGTGAGAGGAGTAACATAAATAAAAATGGTTAATTCCCAAATCGAACTACAATGTACGGAAATTGTAGTTATATTGGTCTATACGATTGTCTTTCTGATTCAGACAAGAACATGTAGGCTGAGACTTTGAGAAAGTCTCTGATTGACTCACTACAATAAAGTAACTCGTTTATAATGTCTCGCCAATCACTTAACCTCGAAATGATATGCGATCACGGACACATGATATGCATATACTTTCCCATTCTATCAGTGCCATATAAGTGAATAATTACAGTGGATAATTAAGTTCCACAGGTTTTTAAATACTAACTGAATCAATGACGTTCTATAAAGTTAAAACAATAGTGGGCGTACTTAATATAGAAGGGTTGAAAGCAATCGCCAGGAAGTCCAGATGGATTTTTGTTTCGTACTGGTCGTAACTTACCCATAAACAGCATCTGGATGGAAGTAATGATTCTTGCAGGATTTGGGCACGTGTCATTGTATCACAGTTAGAGGTGTTCGCATTAGTTATCATAGCAAGCATAGTTAATTAGATAAACTACAATTTAAACTTTTTTTATAGGGGAGGACCGGTAATATGTCATAGATTTCAGTAAAGTAGATTATGAAGGCTTCGAATGTTTGGATTACACTGATCAATACTAGTGCTAAAACTCATCATTGTTATGTAGTAGGTTACCCTGATTCTTAGTGGCCGAGAGATTTTATCTAACCAACTGATTGGATACATAATGACTATGAAAAAAATAGAATGGCAACTAGACACAGGAACCAAAAAAATAATCGAACCTTCTCTATTAAGCCGTTTTTAAGTAGATGTTGATATGTTGAGCAAGAATTAAGCTTCATGGTGATTGAAATGGCGAGTATAAACATGTAAAATATATATGCTCATATGTCATTTTTAATGCAAACACCAGGTGCGGAATTGTAAATGAGGCACGCAATTGAGGGAAGTCGACTTTGCACTTAATCAAGGTGTCTACGATTTATATACATTATAATTCTTCGCATTGATATCATTCTTGTTAGTAAACCATTGAAAGTGTACATCGAAATTGAATGGGATCGCAATACACAATACACATAGTCAGGTCTTAATTTACTGATATTTGGATAGGATCTACGAATTCTATATCTCGTAATCCATTGTCTGTTAATTGAGTTATACTTATGGTTATTTTTATTTTTAATATTTTATGCATCAAAGCAAGTTATTACATTATCAGAGTTTGACCAAAGACCTTGGATCTCAGGCGCAAATGCTTTACTTCTAGACTACTGCCCGGCCATCCAATAGTGTTAAAAACTAACTTTAATCAATTCATGTGATTGCTAGTGAAAAGCTTCAAGGTGTGATTTCTGGAGTTTTAGAGAAAATCTGTGATAAATGGAGTTGTCCACCATATGCAATTGATAAAGATTGCAAAACTAAACTGACTGATTGAAGCTAGACAATAACACCGTCGGATGACGACTCAGAGGTTTAGAGGTTAGGAGTTCGCTTCCTAAGTCGAAAGTGTTCGGTCCGATTCCTAGATGTGTATCAAGAAAATGCACTGCTAAGGAATCCCATATCAGGACAAAACAGCTGTCTAGTGCTCTCAGATTTTCATTAGTGTTCCAATTGACATCAGTTCGTAGTTTAAGATAATGAAAATTCTACAATCTCCACAATCTCCCTGTACAAGTCATATAAAACTAGCCCATGTAGCGCAAATAATAAAATCATAATCCATAGTAATAACAATCAAAAGACAGTTGTAATGATAAAAGAAAAGTTGATACCTTTCAAATTTTTGTTTATCATTATTATAGCCAGTTGGTAATTTTTCAATCCATTTTCGTATTGTTGGAAAAAGTACAGGTTTTGTATAAAGTTTTGATGAATCATTTACTTCACTAGGGAATAAACGTAGCATAGTTTCTCGAGTTGGTAAACTATGCAATCTAGCCACTTGTTCAATTATCAATCTTGATTTATAGAAATAAAGAAAGAAATAAGATTCGGATAAAAAAGAAGCAAAAATTGTATAATCAGAAAGGGGTTTTGTGGATATTATAGTAATTTAATGGTTGAATTCATGAATCAATTGAAGCTAGACCACCATGGAAAACCTGGAAGCAGTGGATGGCCATTTCGTCCTAGTATGGGACTCCTAGGTGGCAGTGTGCATCCACGATCCTGTCTCGCAAGATTCGAACCCAGGACTTATCAGTCTCGTGGATTGGTTGAAGTTAGACATTATCATCGTTGGATACCGGCCGGCTCAGTGGTCTAATGGTTAAGCGCTCGCGCGCGAGACCGATAGGTCTTTGGTTAGAATCTAGCGAGGTAGGATCGTGAATGAGCACTGAGGAGTCCCATACTAGGGCGAAACGCCTGTCTACTGCTTCCAGGCTTTCAAAAGTGATCTAGCTTCAATTGACTCATGAATTCAATCACTACAAATTGGGTAGATAAATTTACATTGGAACATATTACGATAAATAAAATCAATATATTAGAAACCAAAGTGTCTGATAGGTCTTATAGCTGAAAGCTTGATTCGATTTCCCAGCCGCTTCTAATAACCCAAGGTAAACTCTACATGGTAACGTGGACACAAGAGAAAAGGCGTGAATTGCGTATGGAACGATTTACTTCAACGTTAGTTTATATACAGAAAAAAAACGAGGGTATTTATAGTATCACAGAAAGGTCTTGGGCTACTGGAACGATGCTAAATATAGTTCCAGCATGGGCAAATATCTGATCGGATGTTTCTGAGATTGAATTCAGCGCTGACGGGATAAAATGTTTTTCAGCGTTTTCTGGGCCCCTATGGACGTTTCCGAGGAATATTTCGGATCTGCTTAAGTGTGTCAAATACGTTCAATGATAACAAAACCGAGTGAAGGCGAAGTACAAAAAGCTTTAAAGCTTCCATTAATTACATCGCAATCGTGAACAGATCTAAGTTAAACTACCTGGAAGCACTGGACGGTCGTTTCGTCCTAGTGTGGAACTCCTCACTGGAGTCCACTCATTACCGATCGCGCACGTGGGACTCGAACCAACTAATTTTGAGGTCGCGTGCAAACACGTGACCTCTAAACCACTGAGCTGGTATCCAACGGCGTTAATGTTTAACTTCGACCAATCCACAACATTGCTCGATCATCTTTGATTGTCTTCATTAATTAGCTGGTGTCATAGAAAAGTTGATATGAACTAAACGCCTCGCGTAATACTTTTAGGGAAAACGAATACCCTGGGGAGATTATTACCAAATAAATGATCATGAAAATTAGGACAGAATCAGTACGAACAGTAAATACCTTCCTGATCGTTAAGAACAGGTGTAGACAAGACGGTAAACATCTCAATACCAGTCCATCTAGTGAAAACTGGTCCTAATCCCAGTATGAATCAATCACTCTTAATAATTTATCGAGTTAGCAGTTTTCTGCTAAAATGAGTCAGACTCAAAGTCCTCCCAACGGTAGAAGCAATGGCAATTAGGATTTGAAAAACCAAGTAATTTGTGCACAAGAAGTACGTTCAACTGCTTAACTTAATTAGACCAACCTCAAGGCCAATATATCAATAGTAATCTTAACTAAAGGATGACCTGATTTGACGAATGTACATACAACCTTTCCCTTTTGCATTATAAGCAGAGATGGAAGGTGGCTAGCACTGGAATCCAGAATGCGAGTTTCGTCCCATTTTGTGACTCATCAGCTGGACGTACCCGGATCCTATAGTTGATGATCACTATGAGACTTGAACCGAGTACTGTTCACTCCAAATGCCATCACGTTATTCCCTTAGATACTGAGTCCAGGTAGCCACTGACTTGTGCAATGGGGTGAAATTTCAATACGTTTTGTATTGGTTGTTTGAATCTTTCCATTGATGTTTAGAATTGTAATTGATCAGTTATACCTCAAAATCATTTTTAGCCAAATACTATTGTTCCAACATTTTTATTAAGTTTCCAAATACATGAATGATTAAGTTACCATTCACAATCCACTTTATTCTTTCTTAATGAACTCGTATTACTTCATACATAGTATGGTTTTCAATCAAACATTCAATCTGACTTATTTAAACAGTGAAATAACCACAAAGTTTGCAAAACCGAAATGAATTCATCTCTATTTCATGGCTTCTCATAAACTGTAAGCAGTTTAAAAGTACTTCATTTTATTTGAACACATAAATAATGGTACAAAAGTAGCACCAAATACATATGCGCCACATAAATCATGCGATTTATGTGAGGGCTGGGATACTTCCCGGATGCCCAAACCAAAGCAGTTGGTTTTGGTAGGGGGCCATACCCGGAGACTTTAACCTAAAGATCTGATCCACGAGGCAGTGGAACAACGTTAGGAGATGTAGTCCCATGGTTGCCGGTGTCCAACGATTGGTTCATACGCCATTTGTCCCCTCAGGATACTGGAGCCCATGTGGACCATCGGTTTGGAATCTAGGTTTTCCAACTTCCGTAGGTGGACTCTCCGTGCCCAGCAAGCCGCTTAAAGCGCCGGACATTGGGAGTATCAGGCGTACGTAAGTCATGTATTAATTAAAGTTTTAATTATTTAAAATAATGATACAACCATTTATCGCTATTCTCATTACAACTGAATGATATTAAATTTGATTCCTAGTAACTAGAATATCAATTCCTCTATTCTGTATTATTATCATTTTCACTATAGAAATGCAAATCAATCTTGACGATATTGAATCGTATATTTTGTATCTTGTTCTCTATCTTATGATATTATGATTGCACGTTTCAAACTTCATTGACTAAAGTATCTTAAACCTTTATTGATAATTACATTATTTAATAGTTGAATTCATGAGTTAATTAAAACTAGACCACCGTGGAAAACCTGGAAGCACTGGACGGCCGTTTCGTCCTATTGTGGGACTCCTCAGTGGTAGTGCGCATCCACAATTCCGCCTAGAGAACTTTGAACCCAGGACCTATAAGTCTCGTGCGCGAACACTTAACCTCTAGACGACTGAGCCGGTCGATATCCAACGGTGTTAATGTCTAACTCCAACCAATCCAAGAAATTGCGCCACCGTCCACCATTATCTTCAGTGAGTTACTATCTCACAACAGACCCGATTGAACTTCGCTGGTTTTTCATGGTCGTCTAGCTTTAATTGACTCATGAATTCAACTACTAAATTATATTATTATTTATCTCTCATACTATTTTATGTATATTTATTGTGATGATTAATTGCACAATTTCATTTAACGTATAAACTATATTCAACTTATTAAGACCGCATAATAGTCATTGCAACATTAACAAACTCAATCCCCGTACGCTACTATAATTTTAAACGATGTATCTGCCTTAAACTATGTCAGTCTTTTGGATCATTCGTTTAAATATAAAACTGTGTAGAAGCATATGAGAATTTATGGAACAGACTATTCTTCATTCATTAATTTGCATATTTTTAATCTGTAATCCCTGAAAACCTAACCAAAATGTTTTTGTTGGAAAGTTTATTCAATATGTATTAGTATATGCAATAAAAATAAGTGATATCCTATTGATGAAGGGACGGTCCCCGACGAGCTCAAGGAAGCTCAGAAAGAGCCGAAGACATTCCATCCAATCATCGTCTGGAAGAACATTCCAGAATTTCGACGTGTAGCTTCTCTATTGGAAAAGTGCTGAATACCATTGCATGCGGATTGAATGATGATTTCATTTTTACCAAAAAACTATAAACATTCAAGTGTTTTGTACCATATTTGACACAGGTTGGAATATAATTCCTTACCATTCACCTCCTGTATTTTAACTTGTGACTTGAACGGTTCAAGTGTTCTGGTGTTCAAGTGGTACGTGGTATAGCTAAAATTCAAGTCCTAAATATAACAGTAACAAACTTCAACTGTTATGTTTCCTATCAGGAAATACGTTTAGTGTACACAGAAACAAGTCAATATTTGTTTAGAAAGAAAAATTAATAAGGGTTGATCAACAAACAAAGAATCAAAACAACCCAACTATACACAATAGAAGTCTTGAGTGCTGTTAGAGGTATGAGGGCGGTTATCACTTCCCGGTTGCCCACACCGTGGAAGGGTTCTTCTGGAGGTACTTGAAAAGGAAATTAGATCAGAGGTGGTCTTAGTGACCTGAGAGCGTGACCGCAGTGCCCAAGGGACAACTGCTTGAGGTCGGTCACACACGACCTTTTTATGGGTAACTTTTGTGTTAGCTCCGTACTTGTTGAGACCTTACCGCCGGAGACGGATATCCGTGGGATAAGGCGAGATGTGCATTTTCAGGGTCGACCTTTTCTAACCCCACCCCTCCTTGTGGGAAGGCAGCATCGCTATTATGCTGGTTGTCTGAAGGAAACACCTTACTGCTGTCACACCTTCGTACAGTACGACTTTGGACCTTGGGTTTGTTGCTTTTAGTCTTACCGCTCTTCAACCGACCTGTCTGACATGGTAGGGCCTTGAGGGACGGTTGCTCCAGCCAGTATAGCTCGGTTGCTTCATCACAATAGGCAAGCCCGACCACCACGTCGAGGTAGCAACAACGGTCGGGACACAATAGAAGTGGTAGCTTTTCATATCAAAAATTTAAATACATCAATTCTGTAACTGTTCGATTCGTTGTACAAAAAAAAACTTGGTCACCAAATTATAAATATAAGTGGAATATATTAAGATTAAGTATAGTGTCAATGACATATTAAATAATAAACAGAGGTGGTTAAGCAAATTCTATTGAAACAGTAAATACACCATCTAGGTTCTAACATGTAAATAGGTCAATTAAGGTCAATACAAAAAGTTATGACGTGATTTGAACTATTGACTTTTGAGTAGTCTGTACCATATTTTATTGATATCATAATCTAATGATTGTATATAACCTTCTGACTTGAAAGTGTAGTACACAATCGATAAACAAATATGAATTAAGTGTTCTTAAGACAGTACGGATATATTTCTTCTATATTGATCTACTACAAACCTAACATTATTGACGAGTACTAACAAACAGCGTAGGATTTCGACTAGAGATTTCTGGATATGTATATTAGAGCGCATACACATACCCTCTCTCTATCTCTCTCTCACACACACATACACATACACGCAATATTGACATGTAATTCTTCTGTGAAACTATTGGATTTATTACAAAATTTGTTCAATTGATTTCGACCATTAAGAAAGATTTCAGTGATAAGACTAACTCTTCTATGACATGAATAATACACTTCATTAAAATTTAAAAAAATAGTATGGTTAAGACAATGTTCACTAATGTACTATTTATTTAGTGTATTTGACACGGTATAAGTTAACCTATATTGATATAATTTTAATAATTGAGATTATGAGTCAATTGAAGCTACACCACCATGGAAAACCTGGAAGCACTCAAAGGCCGTTTCGTTTTATTGTAGGACTCCTCCTCAGTGGTGCGCATCCACGATCTCGCATAAAAAGATTCAAACCCAGGACCTATCAGTCTCGCGCCAGGCGCTTAACCAACTAGACCACTGGGCCGGCATCCAACTGTGTTCATGTCTAACTTGAACTAATCCACGAAATTGAGCGACACATCCACCATTGTCATCAGTGAGTTATTATCTCACAACAGACCCGGTTGAACTCCACTGGTCACTGCTTCTCACTGGAACTCCAGGAAATACCTCTTGAAGCCAGTCACTAATGAGCATATGTTGATTAATATCAGAAGGGTTTTTTGTGGATATTATAGCTTCAATTGACTCATGATCTCAACTATTAAAATTATTATAATATCCACAAAAACCCCTTCTATATTGATATAGTCAATAATGTTTCATGTATTTATGCAGTTTCTTCCAGAGTTACCATAATCATGGGTTGTTATTATTATAATTTATCAACTCTTATAAGAGAGTTCTGTCAAAGTGTGATCAACTGACACGTCCGACACATAGATGCAACAATCAAATCCTAATACACCTACTTGATGACTATCAAGATGTGGCATGCATACTTGGGCTAGCATACACTAGGACTTAACTCTACTTTCATTATAATTGACTGATTGATTGATATCATCCTTTCAGTCGACTAATTTCAGAAATCGTTTTATAAAGGTATATCAAAGTGACTTTCTTTCTTAGGAAATCCATTATTTCCCCCCAAAAAAATGTAGATATGATCAGTTAATAATTAAGGTTCTGGATTATGTAACTACTGAGTTACCTTTTAAACCCAATGTCCTAAACTTAAAACCTGAATAAATGATTCACAAGGATACGTTTTTTAAAAAAAAATGCCATAAATCTTATGCCATTTTATTGCTTGTTTTAACGTTCTACGAGATGATTCACTGGAGAGACTAATCGAATGAATTATATACTGCATACAACAACACATCGATTAATTCTACTGGATACTTGAATTGGATAGGAAGAAATGAAAACCACGGAGAGATAGACACACAGACACAATGTAAACCATGCGCACAAAAAAAATCTAGTAAAGAAAGTAGCCCTTTCCGCTCCCCCTCACACTTTACTGAGACAGAAAATCAATAAACATGAGAATATTTAGAAACACAAATGGGAAATGGGGAAACAAATTATCGATCTTAAGTAATATTGTTCAAGATATAGAAGAGGAAAACGAGTTAATATATATACTAGCTTTGTTATAATCCATTTTAAGCTTTATCAACCTGCGTAACTAGAAAATCAAGAGTAAGTCCAGTTACAGATAATGCACAAAACCTAAATAATAACATCAAAATATTAAAGAAAGTTAGTGAATGCCTGCAACAAAGTAGGGTTTACTGGTCCAAATTACGTTGTTTAGTACCTCCACTGACCAATATATCATTATGGTTATTTACCGAAGAAGTTTTCTTGATGGAGTGTAGAATACAATTAGTGTGACAAACAGGCTAATAGTAATAACTTGATTATTACGTACGAAATGAATCATCAATTTGGCTCTCCAACAACATTGGCCAATCAATCGTTCATAACGGAGCTACAGTCATTTTCTCCCTATCATCGTTATCTTCAGTCTTAATATCTTATCTAATTATTTAGACAATTTTGTCAAGTTAATGTGTATAATTTCTTTATCCAGATGATAAGCTCTAAACCAAGTAAAAATTCCTATATGATGTTCACGAAACAGGTTCTGTACAAAATAATTTCAATGACTTCACCCTGGGAACCGATGTCAAGTTGATGAAGCCAACATAAAATCTGAAAGAAATCCCAATTAATCCAAATAATCACATCACAACCAGACGAAATTAACAATATGAACAGAATAGGAGTCGAGTCAAAAGCCGTGTTTACGAGTAAAAAAACCAAATAGAGAAAACGATTCGGAAAACGGAATAAATATGAAGAACAAAACTGAATTTACAGACGGACTATTATTGGATACAAAGATTACTTTCTTATATTTACCACACCTGAACCAATCACCAGGATGAGACTTAAACGATTTACATTTATAAAATAGGTCTTTGAAAGGGTCATAAACTATAACGATTTTACAGAGTTCTCTGGGCTAGATGGTTTAATGGCGCAATTTTAATTATCTTGATTAACATTCAGTCAGTCAGTTAAAACGTAGGACAAGGCACATATATCCATCACTCCAAGTTACCATACCTCATTAGCACAAAAACATGAACACCGGATTCATAAAAGTAGTTAATTCAGAGGTGGTAATATATAAAAGAAAGATTACATATAAGGATATTGTACAGGAAGAAAGAATTAGTTGGTAGAAAGAAAGATATGAAGCAATTTTAATCTCTTAGTTTAAGGGAAAACAGAGAGTGTATACACCGACGCCATTTCGATCATTTCCGAGACATGTCACTAAGAGTCTCCAAACATTGGTTACGATAGTCGCGCGGACCCCAACCAACTAGTCTGTATCTACCAACATGGCTCAGACCAGAAGTTAGTGACTTCAAGCACTGATGCCACGTTCTGGTTTGGCCGCCCCTAACTTTCTTCCAACCACTTCCAACACTAGACACCATTGTGCGTCATTGTAATCGGTGTTCAAGCGTACGCAACATGTGACCCAACCATTTCAGTCGATGAAGATCTACAGTGTCATCAAATGACTTACCATCATTCTACAATACCCTGTGTCTAACCTCACTATTACTTATCCGGTGATCACAGCAGACGCCAGCAATACTTCTAAGACATCTGTGGTCGAATACTAGTAGCTTACGAATACTTCCAACAGCACTCAAGACCACTATATTAGTTTCTGAACATTATCAGCAGTTAATTCGCCTAGAACTAAGCTAAAAGATAGAATCATAGTTGAGAAGTTTTCAATAGTATATTCTAGGAAACAATTTATACACAGATTTTATATACTAAGAATATTCAGTTTCCAGACATGAGTCATCGACAATTCGGTACTTATCTATGACAGAGATTGTATTATAGAATATTTAGAAATATATCTATTCTATACTAACGAGTAAATGTTATTAGTGGTAGGAGTATATGTTTCCCTGTTCCCATTAAAGATATATCTTAATTACATGTTAATGAATCTAATCTATAATATTTGTATATTTTAAAAACATAAATCAATAAAAAATACGCTAAGGTAAAGGATGACAATAGAGGAATTAGTTCTTCTAGTTTTGCTGAAACAAAAGTGCCTCCTCGTTGCTGCAAAGCGTTCCTGCATTGTAGCTAATTTCAGTACGCGATATAAACCAAATCCTAACTTCTTATCTTAACTCCTAACTTGAATTTCTAACACGAATTCTGATGTCATATGGTTAATTTCAAAATTGTTTGATTTTGTCCCTTATACTACAGTTTCATTGAAATTTTAAATTAAGTCAGATTAACAACCCTCATCATCGATGAACAAGGAGGTTCAGATGCAGACGTAAAAGCAAGGATTGGCAAAGCAAAGGCCGCATTCCTACGATTGAAGAACACATGGAACTCAAAACAATTGTCAACCAATATCAAATTCACAATCTTCAATACGAACGTCAAGACACTTCTACTGTACGGAGCTGAAACTTGGAGAACTACAACAACCATCATCAAGAAGGTACAGGTATCTATAAACAGTTGTCCACGCAAGATACTCAACATCCATTGGTTGGATACCATCAGCAACAGCCTACTCTGGGAGAAAACAATCCAACTTCTAGTTGCAGAGAAAATTAGGAAAAGAGGATGGAAATGGATAGGACATACATTACGCAAATCATCAAACTGCATCACGAGGCAAGCCATAACTTGGAATCCTGAAGCGGAGGGGAAAAGAGGAAGTCCAAAGAACACATTACGTCGAGAAATAGAAGCAGATATAAAAAGGATAGACAACAACTGGAAGGAGCTAAAAAGGACTGCCCAAGACAGGGTTGGATAGAGAATGCTGGTGAGCGGCCTATGCTCCTTCACGAGGAGTAACAGGCGTAAGTCAGTAACAACCCTGTTGGCTTGTTAAACAACCGAAAAAGTGTATAATTTCATATTTAGATGCTTTTGTTACATAATAAACCTAAAATAAAGTCTATAGGCTATTTCATTTAAAAATAATACTTATCAAACAATAAACTTACTCGCTATACTTCGGCACTGAAAATCTATCCACACTTATAGTTGATCCTTTAATAAATGAATAAACTAAACCATTTTGAAAAACTGCATATAATTTTTGTTCACCACCAAGTTCATGTAATAAATGCATATGTTTTATTTCATCCCATCTATTCACAATAAAATCGGCTAATCTTGTTCGAATTCTCATAAGAATAGTTTTAGGTTCATCTATTTTATTATCATGATCAAAACGTAGAACTATATTAGATAATCCTTCTTCTAATGGCTAAAAAAAGAAAATCAATCATTATTATGGTTTCTAATTGACATACTTTCATTTTTGTATATTCTTTTGACCAATTAGGAAAAACTGATTTCAATATTTTCCATATATTTTCTTGATCATTACCATCTAATATACGTATATCCAATATTGGGATACTATCTGGTACGAGAGGAATGACTGTCATCCTGTAATAATCCACGCAATAACAAATGGCCAATATACATAAATGTATGTGGAAAGATTTAAATATTTAAATCGTTTGTCATACGATTTAAAGGTCAGATAATATGATTGGTTGTATACGAAACCAATACTCGCTCTCTGATTGGATGAGAATGATATGAGCTTCACAATGTACAAATTTATTTTCACGTGACCATGGATAAAGCTTCCATATCATTGGTCAATTGGTTATGCTTCTTATTTATTTTTTTTAATTTTTACAGCGGATCGTATCATGTCTACCAGATAACGATTGAAAATATTTATCGAGTCATCTTTAGAGACTTAAATTTATGGATGAACCAATCAGATTTAAGATTAAAGGTCTTGGATTTTTGGCGCGAAATTCTTTATCCAAATAGCCTTCTTGGCATTTTAGCTGAGATCAGTTCGTATTGAAAATCCTAAATCTAATCCTTATCCTTTACACAAGTTTAAAACCCTTATTTAACCCTAATCAGTAGGTGGACATTGCTGACCATTGAAATTTAATACGAACTTGAATTGTATAAAAGTTTGTCCAGAAAACTCTTCTTTTAATTTAATAGATAGAAAAAACAAGTTTAATGTAAATTCTTTTCATTGATCTGTCAGTGATTATCTTAATCAATTGTGATTATAACAAAACGCACGTGAAAAGGTGGTTGATGATCAGGAACTGTAATAAATACAATCCATACAGTATATTTATTTATTTGGACATGAATATTGGTACAAAGGAGCACCGAATACATATGCGCCACACAAGTCACTCGATTTATGTGTGGGCTGTGATACTGCTCGAGTGCCCAGGCTGAAACAGGTTGTCTTCTTAGGGGATCACACCTCAAGACTTCGACCTGAAGGTCTGATTCACAAGATAGTGGAGCAACGTCAGGAGATGCAGTCTCATGGTAGTCGGTGACTAACAATAGGTTCATACGTTATTTGTTCCCTCAGAATACTGGGGTCCATGTGCACCAATGGTTTGGACTCAAGATTTTCCGACTGCCCTAGGTGGATTCTCTGTGTTAACCAACCCGGTTAAATCACCGGTCATTCGCTTTTTCTTCCTCCCAATTTCGTAAACAGCACTCGTGGTGCGTAAAGGCAGTGAGTAGGACTTCTCTGGTAGTGGTTGTATGCACGTGGCTATATGAGAGCATTTGGAGAGGGAGAGTTGACTCTCCCCACCATCGACCGTACCAGGGCATTTGGGGACAATCCATATAAATGATACAATGAAAATAATTATTTATCATAAGTATTGAATATGCTCAATTTGCACTAGATGAGTTAATCTATCGGGACTTACTGTAGTGAACGAGAAAATAAGCTACGACAATTGAATGTATTTAAATACAAAATTATAGAACATCTTATTAAAATCTGAAAACCATACAATAAATTCTTCATTTGTAAAATGTCAATCAATCATCTCAGACTTCACTGTTCTTTCATTTCCACACTAATCATTCTTTGTTCTCATTCGCTTTTCTTTGTTCTTCTTACCTTTCTGCCACCAGGTATTTTACTTTCGACTGTTGATACATACTACTTATATCTGTCGACATCAGTAACACACACCACACTTGTACTATTTCTTTTTCCTTCAAGTTATTTATAGAACGTTAATTTCATATGGGATTCATTATTTTATAATTAATCGATTAGATGTTGCTAGGATTCTCTGGTTTGTTGCTGAGATCTAATAATAAAATTGGACACTTTATCTAGTAAACTGAGAAGCGTAGCAGTAATTTCAGGATGGAAATTTTGCTCAAGCTATTGCTTCCTGAATTATACATCTTATCATTCCCATCTTGGAATTGAACAAAAAGAGCTCTTTCTATTGTAGATACTACTATACATCACATAATAGTTGGCTTTAAGGTATATCGCTCAGGAGATGCAATGGTTCTCTAATGGTCGTATAGGTAATAACGGCTGGCGAACATATAGCTGATTAATGTCCATGTTTAACTCACCAGGTCAGTATCTCAATACGTGCGAAAAGTGACAAGTCGTTAGGAAAAAAAATCAATAGGGCATAATTGGAACAAACGGTCACTATTAAATGTTCGTTGAAATAGATTGTCAAAACCTTTTTCTATTTGACTCGGTCCACCTACTTCTATGGTGATGTAGTCTGAAACGATTGTTATGTTTTAATATGTCACTTTAGTAAATTGTTCTGTGACTAATCTTTTATATTAATCATAGTTATTGAAAGTTAAGACAGAGACTATAAGCCATGTCATGTGTCAGTTGTGTTCTGCCCAATTTCTTAACATCCCATTCATTCTAAAAAGTCACTATTATTTAGCAACTGAAATTTCATTTATATATATATATATATATATCTGTTCTACCTTCTTAATGAATGTTCTACCTATAAGAGCTACTACTGAGTCTTTAGAAATCTGAAGGATAATGAAATAATCAAAATACACTTTTCAAATCATCCATGAAAGTGATCAGGCAAAGATGAATAATGGCTAGCAGTTAAATGTAGGATACGTGTTTCGTTCTATTTGGGACTCGTCAGCTGAATATATCTACATCTCAGAGTTGATGTTTTCTCCATGACTCGAAACAAGTACCATTCACTTCAAACGCCATCACATTATCCACTTAGCTACTGAGTCCTGATAGTCACTTGCTTGTGCAATGAGGTGAAGTTTTAAATTCATTTGATATTGTTTACTTGAATCTTCTTATTGATGTTTTGGACTGCAATTGATCAGTCTCTTATTGACTTGTTAGCCACTATTTATGACTATCACTCAATCAAATGTCTAATCGTACACATTTCTAACTTTAATCATGGTTATCCATCAAATCTTTGTACGTTACTTACTTATGCCTGTTACCCACATTGGAACATAGACCTCCGACCAGCATTCTCCAACCCATTTTGTCCTGGACCTTCCTTTCTAGTTCTATCCACTTGTTGTGCATTCTTCTCATGTCTATCTCCGTTTCTCAGTGTAATGTATGCTTTGATCTTCCTCTTCTCCCTTCACCTTGAGGATTCTATGAGGGATTGTCTTGTGACTCAGTTGGGTGCTTTTCTCAATGTATGTCCTATCCACTTCCAGAGCTTTTTCCTGACTTCTTCCATCGCTAGGATATGGTTTGTTCTCTTCCTACAGAAGACTGAAATCGTTGTCAGTATTACTTATAAACATAGAAATTGAAAGTTAAATTCCTTTTCTAAATTAGATCTATTCAATTCATCTTTATCGTACGATATTCAATGATGATGATTAACCTTTAAATAGATTGTATGGTATTTTCTTTTTTGCTATTAAAAGTCTCCATGATATAAGTTGAAAGATAGAAAAATTGTTATCTTTAAAGAATGAATTAATTAATTTCATAGAATCATATTTAGTAGGTTTAAATGAACTGATTGAATACAATAATCACTACAGTTCAATTGTGTTATGTCCCGGTAATTTATCATACGACTGGGATTGTCAATAGAATACTAACTTATATAATTAGATTAATGATAAATAAACTAGTTTAAGAGGCCTAGAGTCAACTTCAAGTTGTTATTAGTTGTATGAGATAGTAACTTCTTGTCTAATCCAGTAGGTTCAGTCTATAACATCAATGTTAGACGTCGTTATAAGAATCATATATTTCAAACGTACTTGGTTCACATATACAAACAAATGGGACCGCATCATTCATTTCTGTTGGTTACTTTTGAGTGTTCTCAAGGGCTATTGTCATTGGGACATTTTAAGGTGGTAGGTCGCCATTGATAACATTAACGAGTTTGACTGTTGTGTAGGCGGAATAGATCGACGTTGGCTTATTCATGCTGTGCATAGTTGATTCACGCGATCATTGATCAGAATAACTATATATGTAATGTGAATGTGTATATAAATGGCGCGAATGGTCCACCAGAGTGTTTGGTACCTGTGTGGTTACGCCAAGGGATTGAGCTGTACTATTCAGATTGTAGCGTTAAAGCCTAGATGGTGTGTAGTTCTGCTGTGAAGCGGGATTGAGCTGTACTGTTCGGGTTATAAGCTTTTAGCCTAGATAGTGTCTGGTTCTCCTGGAACCGGGATTGAGCCGTACTATTCGGGCTACAAATTTTAATCCTGGCGGTATATGGCTCTCCTGTTAAACGGGATTGAGCTGTACTGTTTGGGTTGTCAGGTGAATGTCTGGATGATGTCTGGTTCTCTCGAAAACCGATGACAAATTACCCTGGCCCACAATGGTATATTTTATGGTTTGTATACAAACAAATGAGACTGCATCAAATCATAAAGTGCAAAGTGATAATTATACAAGACCAAGCCAAAAAGCGGCTGTGACTGTGAGAGACTGTAATCAATTGACTGGGCATAACTCAGGAATAGTAAGTCATAGATTAATAGCCGATAGATCTAATGGAAGCTTATAATAAAAGGAATATGAATATATATATGACATAGTTACTTAATGGTTATCTAATAAGAATATGTGCGATAATAGTCTGTAAATAGATCCTAGTAGTTACCATTCATTGATTCTTTGTTAGAATATGACAAATTTCTTTTAAAGTAAACAAATAACTCAATGGAATGATTTCATTTGCTGAGAAATATTGAGGTTAGTAAGTAATTGATACTTAACTATCATTATTCTTTCTTGCTGAGCTGCATCACAATATACTGTTCAGCTTGGAAATGGATAAGAAGTATATATTCAATACGCTTTTCTGGACTGTACTTCTGCTTTTGATTCTATCTTAAGACAACTTTTACTTAACAAGTTAATCAACATCAACATTGACAGCTGGATAACCAATTGGCTTTTTTCGTACCTCTCTGAAAGAGGACAGTACACTGTATTTAGATGGAAGCGTTCAACGTCTCTACTGTGTCAGGAAGGTGAGCAACAAGGAGCTGTTCTTTGTTCCCTCCTCTTTTCTCTTTTTTTTCTACATGATCTACCGTATTCCACAGAAAGCAC